CATCTCTTGGGACACCTGAGGTGCAGCAGAAGTCTCTGGCCCGCTGTTGGCTCATGTTGCTCGTCACTCTGTGCTAGGTCTGTGGGGCCAGGAGTCTTCATGTGGTCCAGCCTGTCATGGGGAGTGTGCTCAGCCTCAGGCTGGACTGCTCCCGTGTTTCAGCCCTCGCTTATGGCACCCAAACTCCACTTTCTTCTTGCAGATGTGAAAGCTCTTGTGTTAAGCCACTTTCATTTATTTTAAAAAAAATTATGTGGGCTGGAGAGATGGCTCAGTGGTTAAGAACACCGGCTGTTCTTGTAGAGGACCCAGGTTTGATTCCCAACACCCACATAGTGGGTTAAAACCTGCCATAACTCCAGTTCCAGGGAATTCTGATGCCCTCTTTGGCCTCTGTGGGCATTGGACGGCATGGGTGCACTTACGTGCATGCAGGCAATACACTCATAAACATAAAATTTAAAAAACATAAATTATTTTACTAAAATAATAAAAAATGACGTGTATGCGTGTTTTACATGCATGTATGTAAGTGAATGAAATGTATGCAGTGACTGCAGAGGTCAGAGAGGGTGTTGGACCTTCTGGAACTAGGGTCACAGACAGTGGGTGCCCAGTGGGTACTGGAAACCAGACCTGATCCTCTGTAAGAGCAGTGGGTGCTCCTAGCCGCTTAGCCGTCTCCCCGGCCCCCAGTTACTGTTCTATTGCTGGGATAATGCACCATGACCAAATGTGACTTAGGGAAGAGTTTATTTGGCTTACAGTTCCAGAGGGATGAGTCCGTCATGGCGGGGATCAAGGCAAAAAGCGGCAGGTGTGGCGGCACAAGCGGGAAACTGAGAGCTCGCGTCTTAACCACAGAGAGGAAACAGCAAAGGAAGTGCTGGAGGAAGCCCAGACCACACTTCCTAAAGGTTCCACGAACCCTGCTTGCCAACAGTGCCATCAACCGCAGACCAGGTGTCTGATGCTTGAGACCGTGGGGGTCATTTCTCATCTAAGCCCCCACAGCTCTTCATCCCAGCAAGTTTGCACAAACTTACACAACACCATCAGCAAGCAAGGGCTCTTTGAAAGGAGGCTTCCCATCTCTAACATCATTGTGCTCTTTCAGTATGCTGCTGTCTGCTTTGACAGGCCCTGTGCACAGTAGGGCATAAGCCGTTCTCATTCACTGAATAATCAGTATATAGTCCGTTAAGTGGTCAGAGGTGCCCTTCCCTCTTGATGGGCTCCTAGTTGACAAAACCAGCGATTATGGGATTCAGAGGTGACAGGTGTCCCAAGGCCTATCAGCAGGAAACTTCTCGCAAGAAGCAAGTCTTTAGTCAGAGACATTCTGGTCTCTACCTACGATTATCTCAGTGAGAGGGTCTGCTGACAGGTACGATCCTGCCTTAGCCACCAATAAGCTGTTTCTCAATCGGCAAATCATAGATCAGTTCTGTCTCATTTTGCACCAAAGTCTCATTTTACCAAATGGATTGACTTTTATGCTGTCCGTTGGAAGTCGTAAGGATAAAATTGAGTTATATAGATCTGTAAGCCATTTACAACACTGGGGTAGGGGGAGCGGGTAGAGGTGTGCAAGCTTGTTTGTATGTGTCCATAATGCACATGTGCACATGTACATGCTGATGTCCGAGGTCAACATCTGGTTTTGTTTTTCAGGACCTGCCCACCTTGTTTTTTTGAGACAGAGTCTGTCACTGGGACCTGGGGCTTGCCAGTTATGTGGGGCTGACTGACCAGCAAGCCCAGAGATCTGCCTCTCTGTGCCCCCGGGGTTGGGATTATAAGGGTGTCATCGCACCCAGCCTTTTTACGTGGGTCCTGGGGATCAAACTCATGGCCTTGTGCTTGCACAGCAAACACTTTACCAACCGAGCTCTCTCCCTTTACAACACTCTTAAGCAGTTTTAGAAATATAAAGCCTTCCCCTAGGAGAGGCCAGAGGGGTGTAGGAAGACCAGGTAGAGTTCCAGGTCCTGTTTGTATGTGGCCTATGAAGCGAGAAACAGAAAACAAAGGAGGCCCAGTGCCTCTCACTAATCCGCCTGCTGAGATGAGGTTCATTAAGACCTTCTCAGCCTGGGGAAAGCCACTTCCTTAAGGGACAATAGCAGCTGAGCCCTAATAAACCCCCAGAACTGGGGAGTCTGTGTCATGTCCCCCTCGGGCTCAGTGAGCGCCTGCTGGACTGTTCCTGTAACCCTAGCTCCACCTGCTGGCAGAAGACTAGATTCATTGAGACTGTGCCACCAGGTTCTCAGAGCAGCCTACAGCTGGACTCAGAACAAACAAATCCCACAGCCTAAGCATCACCAGGGTCTCCTGCCTGCTCTGACTCACAGTGAAGACCAGTGCACATGCAGTGCTGGTCACCTGGCTTCACGTCCTCCTCTTATAACCTGTCACACGCAGCCGAAACCCTTGGCCATAAGCCAGTAGGTCTAGAGCAGGGACCAGCCACCAGCTGCACTTGGGCCAAATCCAGACCACTGCCTGGTTTTGTAGATCTTTGTTTTTTAGAACGTGGACACTCTTGCTTGTTTATAGATGATTTGTGCTGCTGTGACAGGGTGAAAGCCTCTGCCTCACAGGTGATGTGGCTTACAGAGTGCAAGATTTGGCTATGTGGCCCTGTGCACAGAATGTTTGCCTGGGAGCTGGGGATGTGGATCAGTAATAGACTGCTTACCCTGCAGGCCCACAACTGCCTGTGACTCCAGCTCCAGAAGAACCAACGCCCTCTTCTGGTCTCCATGGGTACCCACCCACAAGTGTCATCCATTCACCCAGACACACATACACATAAATAAAAATAAATCTTTTTTAAAGTTCAAGTAGAAACGTTTGCTGGAGACACAGGTGCAATGGATGTGTTAACCCCTGAGAGTTCAGTCAGTCAGACCCAGTTGGTGGAAGCTTTTATAGACTAGATTATAAGGTTTCTTCAATAAATGAGCAGATATAGAAAAAAAGGTAGTGTAGCAAGCTCTGGGGAGTGAAAGTGATATCAAGGACCTCAGACCTAATACAGCATGAAGACCAACTGAGATGCTTGGAGATAACAGAAGCTGGGCACAGATAGTGTTTGAGATGCTGTGGTGGTGCTTGTGCTTACAGCTTTGTGTTTCTCTCTCTCTCTCTCTCTCTCTCTCTCTCTCTCTCTCTCTCGTCATCCTTACCTATTCAAGCATGGTGGCACAGGCCTGTAGTTCCAGCCTGAGCTACTTAGCAAGACCCCATCTCAGAAGAAAGAGAATAAATACACACCCTTTTCCATGAGAAATTATTAAGTTTATGGACTTATGGGATGTTCTTTCTCTCCTTGAGTTCCTTCAGCAAGATAAAACAATGTGGGTAGAAGCAAATGGCTGATTGGTTGAAGGTTGGGAAGCTAGGGCTTGAACCTAGGGCCCTGTGTGTGCTACACGGGCACTCGACATGCCCCACCCCAAGCTTGATATTTATTGAATCTGGATAAGAAGGACCTGAAATTCACTGTTATTTTTCCTCAAACTGTATACTTAGAATTTTTCATTATAAGGTATTTTGTTGAAACTGGAGAGATGGATCAGTGGTTAAGAGCACTGGCTGCTCTTGCAGAGGACCTGGGTTCGATTCCCAGCACCTACATGGTGGCTAACAACTGTCTGTAACTTTAGTTCTAGGGGATCTGATGCTCTCTTCTGACCTTCACGGGCATTGCATGACACGGGTGCACTTACATACACTCAGGCATAACACTCATACATAGAAAATAAAAATAAATGAAAACTATTTGAAAGATGCTTTGTTTTTAATCACGTTTGAGGTTGAACATTTAAATGACCTTCCACCTATGCTTGTGCAAGTGACCCTAATCAGGTACAGCGAGTCACACACAGAAGACTTGGAAGCAAGAGAGGGGCATGCTGGGAAGAAGGTGTGGGAGTGGGACAGGATAAGTGAATAATGCTGAATGTGATCAAAGTGTGCTGTATATGTGTACGTATATTGTCAAAGGATAAATTTTAATATAGACATTTAATAAATACATTTGAAAATTCAGTCCTGCTTCTGTCAGCCCTTTCTGTACATGGCGACTGCAAGGCAGGTTGTGTGTAGTAATGTAAAGATTTTGAGGACTAAGTGAGATTGTAAAAGAGCTTAGGTGCTGAAGACCCAGCTCAGTGGTGGAGAGGTTGCCTAGCCTAACCTTGAGGCCCTGAGTCCAGTGCCAGCACCACAGAAACTTGGAAGAGTTCAGTCCAATTCCTCATGAACAGGAAGTGATCGATACCTGGTAGCTATTGTGTCTGTTTGCAAACTATAAACACATACTTGCTGTGAACCTGTTCTTTATGATCTTGCTGGATCTTTGTGATCCACAAGCTCTAAACTTTAGTGCTAGCAGCAGTAAGAGAACAAAATGGGAATTCTTTTCAGTATGTACATAGATTTCCTTGATGGTCTAGAACAGCAGTCAAAGCATGGGGAAAGGAATTGCTGAGGATGCTTGTGGGCACCTTTAGGGCATTCCTGGCAAAGGACAGGTGTTCCCATTTCATGGATGTTGTCTCTCGTTGCAATCCACAGCTCCCACTGAGCCCAGGAAAGCTCTGAGCCCCCAACGTGCCTTTATGTTCTCTGGACTGACCCAGTCAGGCACCTCTCAGTCAACCCCTCGCTGACCGCTGTGCTCAGCATCACACATTTTGTAGGAAAACACGTTGACTTAAAAACGTAAGATTTTTGTAGATGAAATGTCATCTCCTCTCTCAGTCACCACCAGCATCTAAAATAAATAAACTTGAACCCCATCCCCCGGACAGCCTCCCTTCAAATTCTGAGTCTGTTTTTGAAAACAGTAGCTGTCAGAGAGAGATGTCAGAAATAGACTGTCTGCACTATGTGTTTGAACAGGGGAAAGGAAAAAAGAGGTTTACACTTACGAAACAATGTTCTGCTTAAACGAAGAGTCTTACTCGGGTGACTTTTCTGCTCCACAGAATGACATCACTCCTCTACACGTCGCGTCAAAAAGAGGAAATGCAAATATGGTGAAGCTGTTGCTTGACCGGGGAGCAAAGATCGACGCCAAAACCAGGGTAAGCCCACTCGTGTGCACGGCTGCTCCTGTTTTCCAGAGGTAGAAGTGCTCTCCCTGATTCTTCGCAGAGTACATGTTGGTTTGATTTGTGTTTGATTTGTTGCTATCTCTTGGAAAATGATCCTGCGTTTATCCTCAGGGTGGGTTGGTAACCCACTCTGTAATCATTAGTACAGCTTAGAGAGTGTCTGGCTTTAAGTATAGGAACAAGGTCCCGGGTCTACTGGCTTTATTGAATTGAGTTAGATCTTCAAGAATCACTTGAGATGGGGCTGGAGAGATGGCTCAGCAGTTAAGAGCACTGGCTGCTCATGCAGAGGACTGGGGTTCAGTTCCCAGCACCCACATGGCTGCTAACAACCTTCTGTATCTCCAGTTTCAGGGGATCCAATGTCCTCTTCTGACCTCGGAGGGCACTGCATGCATGGGTGCACTTAGATACATGCAGGCAAAACATACACATAAAACAAAATAAATAATTTTTTTTAAATGGCTTGAGGGGCTAGAGAGATGACTCAGCAGTTAAGAGTCTTTGCTGCTTGCAGAGGACCGGGGTTCAGTTCCCAGCACCCACACTGGGCAGCTCACAACCACCTGTAACTCCAGTTCCAGGAAATCTCCTGCTTACTCTCTTCTGGTCTCCATAGGCTTCTACACACATGTGCACATACACACGGACACATACACATAGATAAAAAAAAATGAATTAATTGACATTTAAAGCTGAGCTGTTGGGTCATTTTGATGCCAAGGCTGCAGGTGCCCTATGAAAAACTGTATCTACTCTTCTGTCTTGCTGGCAGTAATATGAAATTGTATACCAGTAATAGAAAACAGCTTGGATGTTAAAACAGCCACATATTAAAAACAGGACTACCACTTCTAGGTGCATGTTCAGAAGAATTAAAAAGCAGGGTCTCCAAGAGGCATTTCCACACTTACGTCTGCTGAAATATTTTTAAAATTGTCAAAAATCTGGAAGTAGCCCAAATGTCTGTTAATAGATGAAGGTGGTTCCGTCAGTGATGTGCTTGTGGCACAGTTATGAAGACCTAAGTTCAGATCCCCAGCACCAAAGCCTGGGCTTGGTTTCGAGGACCTGGAATCCAATTCTGGGGAGGCAGGAGCAGGAGGCTTCCCGGAGCTCACTGCCAGCCAGTCTAGCAGGATTGACGAGCTCCAGCCTCAGTGAGCAATCCCATCTCATAAAGTAAGGTGGAGAGTGATTGAAGACATACAGTGTCAGTCCCTGGCCGCTACACACACGTGCACAAACACATATATGTGCACCCACCCACATACACATACACATAAAAAAGAATAACTTACCACAGTACAGATGAACCTTGAGGAGTCCATTTAGTAAAATAAGCCAGTCCCTTAAGGACAAATGGCCATGATTCTACTTAGATGAGTTATCTAGAGTCAGAATCATGGAAAGGGACTGCCTGTGTAGCTCCACAAAGGATGGGCTTAGCATGCATAAGTCTCTAGGTTCAACCTCCAGCTCCAAAGAAGAAATATTATAGAAATAAAACACAGAATTGTAGTTGCCAGGATGAAGAGGGAGATGGGGAGTTGTCTGGGAATGGATTGTCAGATTGAAAGAAAAACAACAGTAAGAAAAAAAAACAGGTCTAGCCACAACGTAAATATAATGGACCACACAGTTAAAAATTACTTTGAGGGTAGAACTTCTGTTTTTCACAGCTAAAAGTTTTAATTAAAAAATTTCAAAACACACAAATATGCCTCGCTAGGTGCATATGGTATGCTGTTTTTATTTTGTAAAAATGGTGGTGGCCGACTTTGCATGTGCTGCAGTGTGTTGTTTATTTGATACGAGGCCTATGGGTCCCAGAAAGAGCTGAGACTCAGAATCTGGTTTGAATCCAGGCTCTATGCTCAGCAAGCTGACTTAGGTAAACTAGTTAACCTTTCTGTTTGGAATTTTGCCTTCCGAAGATTAAAAGAACGACTTATCCTCTGGGGGATTGCCACAGTGACCAAGATGTTTGGCAATTCTGTCAGCCTGATGTAGGCCAGAAATCCCAGTCGTGAGTGCACCTCAGAGCCGCAGTTACTACTAAACTCCTAGCAAAGGACTTTTCTTTTTCCACATTTCTCGTGTTTATTATGAGATCTGAGCAAGAGCCAGTCTAATAAAAAGGTGGTGTCACCCTAAGCATCCATTTGTCAAAGGGGTTTAGGTGGGTCCCCCGCCTTGTTACTGTACCCTGGCAGTCCTGGGCGTCCCGCTTCCAAGAATCCTGATCTCCATGTTTCTAAAATCAGTCTGGCAACCCAAGCTGATTCCTCTTGTACTCTGATTTACTGTTCATGACATTAATACATTCAAACAGTAAATGAATACTGAGTGTCTCCTCAGCTGTGGGAGTAGGTCAAAGAGGAAGACAGCATTTTTCTAAAGCTGCCATGAGGCTATGGGCTGGTTTGTTATCTGTACTCTGCCCTTAATCCAGCCCAGCCCTGAGTGTCTCCATTTCCTGGTGACTATTGAACCTGAAAAGCAATAAGCTCACTAGAGAGGGAAATGCAGAATAGAAAGGTTCCCGTGAAGGACAGTGTCACCAGAGAACAATCTACTGAACTGACCAGGGCATGTCTCAGTAAGGAAGTGTCAGTACATGAAGTCATTGCTGTCAATGGCAAGTCCTCTGCTAAGCATGGGCTGTGGCCCGGGTGGGAAGGAAAAGAGGAAGGGCATCATTTGTAAAAGTGGAGCAGGATTGTTTCTAAATAGCAGAAATGAATTCGTGTAAGGGGAAAGGAGGGTTCCAGAGCCAAGAAGAGAAGCGTGAGGTGCCTGGCCATCTGCTGGGATTTCTGCTGGTAGTTGATGGAAAATGACCTTGTTTCTCCTCCTCTTGATACAATCTTCAAACACGTGAAGAGCAAAATTACTTCTCATCTCAAACACCCAGGAGGTGCACATGGAGGTGCGTTAGTTTTCCATTGCTGTGGCCAAGTACCTGAGAAGAAGCGGCTTAAGCAGGGAAGAGTTTAACCGGGCTCACGGTTAGAAGGGCTACAAGTCGTCATGGGGGGTGGGGGGCAGATACCAGTCGTCACGGGGGATACAAGCCGTCATGGGGGAAGGCGTGGTGGCAGGCAGCTCCACTATGAAAGGACGTGTATGTAACTGGACTTCTCACCTCCTGGTATCTCAGAAGGACCAGAAGCAGAGAGCGGACAGGAAGTGGTGGTAGGCTGTGGAACCACAAGGCCCATCCCAAGTCACCCACTTCCTTCAATGAGGCCCCGCCTTCTGAAGGTTACACAACTTTACCAATAAGCACCAACATTTGAGAACCAAGGGCCCAACACAGAAGCCTGTGGGGGGCATTTCACATTCGGACCACGAGGGGGGCGCTTATTGTGTTACAGGAGATGCACATCAAAGTTCTTCTGATAGATAAATCAATGACTGAGATGATTACCTCGGCAGACTATCTAGGCGGCTCCTTGTCTTTGCCCCTTGCCTCCTGGGTACTGTCAGTAGAGGTGGAGCCTTCTTTGCTACTGCCCCGTTGGGTTCTGCCTTGGGTTTACTTTCCTTCAGTTTGAAAGGCACGGATGTGAAGGAGAAACGTGGAGTCACAGTAGAACGGCCCGTCTTGCTTTGTCTTTTTCCTCTGTAAAGTGGGTTGGGGGATGGTTTCAGGTGCACACAGACTGCATTCCTGGCAGATGGAATGGAAGAGAGTGAAGCATGAACCCCACACGTGAGCCATGTGCCATCCTCATAAAGACTCCCTTCTCGCTTGCTGGAGTTATGAGGGCATGTGGATGGCAAAGAGGGAGGCAGCCACAGTGTCGGAAGTCTGTGGGGCGAGTCTACAAACAGAACTGTCCATCAGTGGAAGTTGTAACCACCCAGGCCAGTGGAGCTTATGAGGAAATGGGCCGTTGCTGCCTATTTCCACCTCTAGGCATGTCCTCCTCTGGTGGCCGCCTCGTTGCATACAACAGGTCTAAGCCATGACACTTGTCCTTGGCCAGAGACCAGCATCTCCTGACTCATCTCAGAGGCCAATTCTGGAAAGAACCTCTTCTTTGGGGCTCTGCTTCCTGCCCAGGTTACTGACCTGGACCATCTTCTAGGAACTGAAGCCTGAATGCTGATCAGAGTCCTCTCACAGGGAGCTGAGCAAGATCTTCCTGGTTTAGAAAAGCAGAATGAGCATGCATTTTATTGTGTCTTTATTATGTTTAATTTGGCACAAGGGCTTATTCTCTAGCCTTAAATGTGACCAGCAAGTGTGACCTGACAGGAGGTTCATCCTCCTTCCTCATTTCCTCCCCAGTGCAGACAGTGAGCCGTTCCTACGATCTCACATACTGCTCAGCTGGGTGTTGTAGCTTTAATAATTAGGGATGGGAATGTTAGCTCAGTGGGTAAAGCACTTTTCAAGCAAGAGTAAGAACCAGAGTCTGGATCCCCATAAATGCTGGACAGTCCTGCAGTATTAGAACACAGAGGTGGAGACTGTGTTCTTGCTCCCCAGGCAAGCTGGTTAGCTAGACTGACTGGGCTCAAGTGAGAGACCCAGCCTCAATATATAAGATGGAGAGCATTTGAGGGAGACACTGAACATCAGCCTCTGACTTCTGCATACACACATAGACATACACCCACATACATGTGAACACACACATACACACACAAAGAATAATCAAAGCTGCAGATCTAGCTCAGTGGTAGACCACGTGCCCAGCACACGAAAGACTAGATTAAATCCTCAACACTGTGGGGATGTAAAAGAAAAGAGATACTATAAAATTCAAGATACTTACTCGTAAATCTTTCTGCAGTCTATTAAGGATCTGCTACACCAGAGTCTTCAGGTCTTTGTTTATTTGATTTCAAGAAAGCTTTTACCCAATTCCCAGCACCATCTGGCTGACTGGTACCATTTGGTCTGTAGCCAACCTGGAGTATACAGGATGCTTCTGTGACAAAGGTGGGGGTGGTGG